TGTTCCCCACCCTGTGTCCAAGTGATCTCATTGTTCAGTTCCCACCTATGAGTGAGAACATGCAGTGTTTGATTTTCTGTCCTTGTGATAGTTTGCTGAGAATGATGGTTTCCAGCTTCATCCATGTCCCTGCAAAGGACATGAACTCATCCTTTTTTATGGCTGCATAGTATTCCATGGTGTATATGTGCCACACTTTCTTAATCCAGTATATCATTGATGGACATTTAGGTTGGTTCCAAGTCTTTGCTATTGTGAATAGTGCTGCAATAAACATATGTGTGCATGTGTCTTTATGGTAGCATGATTTATAATCCTTTGAGTATATACCCAGTAATGGGATAGCTGGGTCAAATGGTATTTCTAGATCTAGATCCTTGAGGAATTGTCACACTGTCTTCAACAATGGTTGAACTAATTTACAATCCCCCAACATTGTAAAAGCGTTCCTATTTCTCTACATCCTCTCCAGCATCTGTTATTTTCTGACTTTTTAATAATCACCACTCTAACTGGCATGAGATGGTATCTCATGTGGTTTTGATTTGCATTTCTCTGATGACCAGTGATGGAGAGCACTTTTTCATGTGTCTGTTGGCTGCATAAATGTCTTCTTTTGAGAAATGTCTGTTCATATCTTTTGCCCATTTTTTGATGGGGTTGATTTTTTCTTGTAAATTTGTTTAAGTTCTTTGGATATTAGCCCTTTGTCAGATGGGTAGATTGCAAAAATTTTCTCCCATTCTGTAGGTTGCCTGTTCACTCTGATGGTAGTTTCTTTTGCTGTGCAGAAGCTCTTTAGTTTAATTAGATCCCATTTGTCTATTTTGCCTTTTGCTGCCATTGCTTTTGGTGTTCTAGTCATGAAGTCCTTGCCCATGCCTATGTCCTGAATGGTATCGCCTAGGTTTTCTTCTAAGGTTTTTATGGTTTTAGGTCTAACATTTAAATCTTTAATCCATCTTGAATTAATTTTTGTATAAGGTGTAAGGAAGGGATCCAGTTTCAGCTTTCTAGCCAGTTTTCCCAGCACCATTTATTAAATAGGGAATCTTTCCCCCATTTCTTGTTTTTGTCAGGTTTGTCAAAGATCAGGTGGTTGTAGATGTGTGGTATTATTTCCGAGGCCTCTGTTCTGTTCCATTGGTCTATACATCTGTTTAGGTATCAGTACCATGCTGTTTTGGTCACTGTAGCCTTGTGGAAGAGTTTGAAGTCAGGTAGCGTGCTGCCTCCAGCTTTACTCTTTTTGTTTTAGGATTGTCTTGGCTATACGGGCTCTGTTTTGGTTCCATATGAACTTTAAAGCAGTTTTTTCCAATTCGATGAAGAAAGTCATTAGTAGCTTGATGGAGATAGCATTGAATCTATAAATTACCTTGGGCAGTATGGCCATTTTCATGATATTGATTCTTCCTATCCATGAGCATGGAATGTTCTTCCATTTGTTTGTGTCCTCTTTTATTTCCTTAAGCAGTGGTTTGTAGTTCTCCTTGAAGAGATCCTTTACATCCCTTGTAAGTTGGATTCCTAGGTATTTTATTCTATTTGAAGCAATTGTGAATGGGAGCTCTGTCATGATTTGGCTCTCTGTTTGTCTGTTACTGGTGTATAGGAATGCTTGTGATTTTTGCACATTGGTTTTGTATCCTGAGACTTTACTGAAGTTGCTTATCAGTTTAAGGAGATTTTGGACTGAGATGATGGGGTTTTCTAAATATGCAATCATGTCATCTGCAAACACGGACAATTTGACTTCCTCTTTTCCTATTGGAATACCATTTATTTCTTTCTCTTGCCTGATTGCCCAGGCCAGAACTTCAAACACTATGTTGAATAGGAGTGGTGAGAGAGGGCATCCCTGTCTCGTGCCTGTTTTCAAAGGGAATGCCTCCAGTTTTTGCTCATTCAATATGATATTGGCTGTGGGTTTGTCATAAATAGCTCTTATTATTTTGAGATACGTCCCATCAATAAATAGTTTATTGGGAGTTTTTAGCAAGAAGGGCTGTTGAATTTTGTCAAAGGCCTTTTTTGCATCTGTTGAGATAATCATGTGGTTTTTGTGAATGGTTCTGTTTATGTGATGGATTACATTTATTGATTTGTGTATGTTGAACCAGCCTTGAAGCAGAGGGATGAAGCTGACTTGATCATGGTGGATAAGCTTTTTGATGTGCTGTTGGATTCAGTTTGCCAGTATTTTATGGAGGATTTTTGCATCGATGTTCATCAGGGATATTGGTCTAAAATTCTCTTTTTTTGTTGTGTTTCCGCCAGACTTTGGTATCAGGATGATGCTGGCCTCATGAAATGAGTTAGGGAGGATTCCCTCTCTTTCTATTGATTGGAATAGTTTCAGAAGGAATGGTACCAGCTCCTCTTTTTACCTCTGGTAGAATTCAGCTGTGAATCCATCTGATCCTGGACTTTTTTTGGTGGGAAGGCTATTAATTACTGCCTCAATTTCAGAGCATGTTATTGGTCTATTCAGAGATTAAACTTCTTCCTGGTTTAGTCTTGGGAGGGTGTATGTGTCCAGGAATTTATCCATTTCTTCTAGATTTTCTAGTTTAGTTTATTTGCATAGAGGTGTTTATAGTATTCTCTGATGGTAGTTTGTATTTCTGTGGGATTGGTGATGATATCCCCTTTATAATTTTTAATTCCATCTATTTGATTCTTCTCTCTTTTCTTCTTTATTAGTCTTGCTAGTGGTCTATCAATTTTGTTGATCTTTTCAAAAAACCAGCTCCTGGATTCATTGATTTTTTGAAGGGTTTTTTGTGTCTCTTATCTCCTTCAGTTCTGCTCTGATCTTAGTTATTTCTTGTCTTCTGCTAGCTTTTGAATGTGTTTGCTTTTGCTTCTCTAGTTCTTTTCAATGTGATGTTAGGGTGTCGATTTTAGATCTTTCCTGCTTTCTCTTGTGGGCATTTAGTGCTATAAATTTCCCTCTACACACTGCTTTAAATGTGTCCCAGAGATTCTGGTACATTGTGTCTTTGTTCTCATTGGTTTCAAAGAACATCTTTATTTCTTTATTTCTGCCTTAATTTTGTTATGTACCCAGTAGTCATTGAGGAGCAAGTTGTTCAGTTTCCATGTGTTTGTGCAGTTTTGAGTGGGTTTCTTAATCTTGAGTTCTAATTTGATTGTATTGTGGTCTGAGAGACAGTTTGTTTTAATTTCTGCTCTTTTTCATTTGCTGAGGAGTGCTTTACTTCCAATTATGTGGTCAATTTTAGAATAAGTGTGATGTGGTACTGAGAAGAATGTATATTTTATTGATTTGGGGTGGAGAGTTCTATAGATGTCTATTAGGTCTGCTTGGTGCAGAGCTGAGTTCAAGTCCCTGATATCCTTGTGAATTTTCTGTCTAGTTGATCTGTCTAATATTGACAGTGGGGTGTTTAAAGTCTCCCATTATTATTGTGTGGGAGTCTACGTCTCTTTCCAGGTCTCTAAGGACTTGCTTTATGAATCTGGGTGCTCCTGTATTGGGTGCATATATATTTAGGATAGTTCGCTCTTCTTGTTGAATTGTTCCCTTTACCATTATGTAATGGCCTTCTTTGTCTCTTTTGATCTTTGTTGGTTTAAAGTCTGTTTTATCAGAGACTAGGATTGCAACTCCTGCTATTTTTTTGGTTTCCATTTGTTTGGTAGATTTTCCTTTATCCCTTTATTTTTAGCCTATGTGTGTCTCTGCATGTGAGATGGGTCTCCTGAATACAGCACACTGATGGGTCTTGCCTGTTTATCCAGTTTGCCAGTCTGTGTCTTTTAATTGGGGCATTTAGCCCATTTACATTTAAGGTTAATATAGTTATGTGTAAATTTGGTCCTGTCTTTATGATATTAGCTAGTTATTTTCCCCATTAATTGATGCAGTTTCTTCCTAGCCTAAATGGTCTTTACAATTTGGCATGTTTTTGCAGTGGCTGGTACTGGTTGTTCCTTTCCATGTTTAGTGCTTCCTTCAGGAGCTCTTGTAAGGCAGGTCTGGTGGTGACAAAATCTCTGAGCATTTGCATGTCTGTAAAGGATTTTATTTCTCCTTCACTTATGAAGCTTAGTTTGGCTGGATATGAAATTCTGGGTTGAAAATTCTTTTCTTTAAGAATGTTGAATACTGGCCCCCACTCTCTTCTGGCTTGTGGAGCTTCTGCCAAGAGATCCACTGTTAGTCTGATGGGCTTCCCTTTGTGGGTAACGCGACCTTTCTCTCTGGGTGCCCTTAACATTTTTTCCTTCATTTCAACCTTGGTGAATCTGACAATCATGTCTTGGGGTCGCTTTTCTTAATGAGTATCTTTGTGGTCTTCACTGTATTTACTGCATTTGAATTTTGGCTTGCCCTGCTAGGTTGGGGAAGTTCTCCTGGATAATATCCTGAAGAGTGTTTTACAACTTGGTTCCATTCTCCCCATCACTTTTAGGTACACCAATCAAATGTAGATTTGGTCTTTTCACATAGTCCCATATTTCTTGGAGGCTTTGTTTATTTCTTTTTACTCTTTTTTCTCTAACCTTGTCTTCTCACTTTATTTCATTAATTTGATCTCCAATCACTGATACCCTTTCTTCCACTTGTTTGAATCGGCTATTGAAGCTTGTGCATGCATCATGAAGTTCTTGTGCCATGGTTTTCAGCTCCATCAGGTCATTTAAGGTCTTCTGTACACTGTTTATTGATCAAATGAGGGTACTTGAGGTATCTATCACCTCAAGCATTTATCATTTTAACAATGGACTCCTAATCTCCTTACTTGACTGCACCATTTCCCAACTCTATGCTTTACATTAGAGAAGGCTTCTCTAAAGAAGTCATCCATTCCTACCTCTGCATGTTTGCCCTTCCTTCGAATTCCAAAAATGTCTAATACTGTTAACAGCAGTAATTTTCAAGTGTCACAGTTTTCTAAAGCTGTAAGGCAATTTTACATTTGAAACACAATTGTCTTTCTAAACATAGTAAATTAGACACTGAAATGAAGTCAAGTTTGTGATCTTTATTTCTTTTTATATTCACTTGTAAGCATACAACTTCCAGTATTTGAATACTTTTCTTTAGGGTGACTTATAAACACATAGGATTTCTTGCCCATGTGAAATGATAGATTAAATATAATAGACATAGGTGGGCTCAATATATAGAGGAACATCTCTATGGGCAGAAAAACATCAAAGGTTTAGTTGGATTTCAAAATGTGGATTTGCTGGGCTTTGGGTGAACATGCATATAGCGGTTGTAAGGGGTTCACTGCTTCAAGTCCCCTGCTCTGGAAAAGAGACAGAAAGAGGTTATTGTGGGTTATGACTGATAGAAGTTTGTGAGTTCAGGGAATTAGAATTCGGTCTTACCAGTAGGAACTGAACCAGCCTTCCATTGGTTCAGTGAGTGAACTGGTTTTGCCGTATTTCTTCAAATTACTCTGCGGCAAAGACTGAATTATCAATATAAGACTGAAGGTCTGGGTGCAGTCAACCTGGAATGGCAAGGAGTGAAGAGAGAGAAAGACAGACTGGGGGAGACGGAGAATGAGAACAAGTGAGCCAAAGCTTCCATTCAAAGAGTCAGAGACTCAAAATTCTACAATAAAGGAAGAAATCTTAGGCTAAAAATGATGGTAAAGTAAATCAACAATCAGATGAAAAATTAGTCCAGATTTTTTAAAAAGCACAATGAATTCAATGTCATAAGGCAGATTGACAATTTTAGCTATGTTAAAAAGCCACTGTATCAACAGTGGCAGTTAGATAGGATTTGACTGCTACACACTACTCACAGCACCCCAAATGACAATGCTTTCAAATCTATAGTATTTTTTTTTCTTTGTAGAAGAATGATACAGTGACAGTATTAAAATAAAGATATGTATCACAGCTAAAGGCAGCCTGGCAGCAAGGGATCTGGAGTGGCCAGTTGCAAACTCTTAACTGTACTCTGTCTGATGGGTCATACCAGGATACATGTTAGCTCTCAAATAGGGAACCACTAATATGTGTATGAAATATCTCAGAAACAGGGATCTACTAATGGAGTCTCAGACCGAACTGCTTCTACTCTGCTGGTAAATTAGGAGTATTATTTCCACATAACAAGCCCCTGTGGCAGAGCTCTTGTAGGGACCTTAATGAGACCAGGTTCAGATAATGTGTCTCACTATTATTAACAAACATGCTAACAAGCTCATATGCATTACTCCAAAACTCACTTGGAACCCATGCTTACAAAGCAACACTATTCATCAGTTCATTTCATACCTTTACCAGAGATCAACGTATGCAGGTAATTCAGCAAAACAGTTCAGGCCAATTCTAGGCCTGCTCGAATTAATCCTTACAACACAGCCACCACAAACAAAGTCAAAAGACCCATGACAGAGTAGGAAAATGAATTACAACTTAAATTGTAGATAAGAGGTTAATTTCCCTAACATATAAGAAATTTCTACAAATCAATATTGGAAAGACTAACAGCCCAGTCACAAAAAAGTCAAAAGACAGGGACAGATACATTACAGAAATGAAATCACTGCAACAAAAAAATAAGCATATGAAAATATGTTCAACCTCATTCATGGTAAGGAATGTGCATATTGAAACTGCACTGAAATGCCATTTCTCACCTATTATGTTGGAAAAGGTCAAAAAGTTTGAGTAAACATTGTGTTGGCAAGACTATCAGCTAACTAACTACTCCTCTTATAGCTGGGCACAGTCCTTTCTTGAAAGGGCATCTGAGCATCACATTTTATTGTCTACTACGGTCACATGTCTCTAAGATAGGATTTTTGCATTCATAAACCCTTATACTGAGTTTTTTTCTTCATACATAAATCAGTCAGTGTCCTCTCATTGTTCCTCGCCACCCATTTTAACATCTCTATTCCTTGCTCTTTGTATTCAAGGTTAATCCCTTCACCTGATAACAATGTCACTGATACAATGTCAGCCCAGCTAATTAAATATTGACTGATAAGAAAACAACTTAATTTTAGAAAGTTAAAAAGAGAAAAACAAAGATATTCTGGATAAAAGTTACAAGATGAGTAGCGTGGAATGGGTATGTGTGTGCGCAATATTCAAAGTTTCTGACACTAATGGGGATAATGATCAAAATCTGAATACTTAAATACTTTAGTTTTTAAAATTAGCAGTAAAAATCCTTAAATAACTACATAGGATTGATTTATTCATCCCCTCTTCAAATATTTATGGAATGATTCTTTTCAATAAGCTGGCTAGGTATTGTTGGGGAATATCAATGAAAAAGAGGCCATTTTTTTCTTTGAGCAGCTTATGCTATTGCCTATAAGGGAAGTAAAATGCATACATAAATAATCTGGAACAGAAGTTGGAAATCGTTTTCTGTGAAGGGCCAAATAGTAAATATTTTATGGTTTGCCACACGTATGGGCTCTGTTGCCACTATTCAACTCTGCTGTTGTAGTGCAAAAAATAGCCATAGGACAATATGTAAACAAATGGGTGTGGCTGTGTTCTTTAAATTTTTAAAAAAATCTCTTCCTAGGAGAAAGAAATTAATAAGACTTAATTTATATACAAGTGGTGGGTTGGATTTGATATATGGGCCATAGTTTGTAAACACCTGAAAAATAGAAAGTATTAATTCCATTTGAGAATTTCCAGTAAATAGGAATTTAGAGAAAGGAGAGCCTGTATCTACCTGGTAACAGTATAAAAAACTTCATGGGGGTGATGATTTAACCTGGAACCTCATTGTTGTGTATAATATCAACTTAGGGGTATGGTAGGTAGAAAGGTGAGGATGAGGCAGGAAGGATACTCTCAGTAGAGGAAACAAATGTAAGCATAAGTGTGGTGGAGTTGGTTAGCAAATGGGTGTGCAGTAGCAACTCAGTTTGTTTTAATGTAATAGCTTGCATTAAGTAAAGTAATGGTAACATAGGTGGAAAGAAAGGTTTCACTCAGACTAAGAAAGGCTTTACAATCAGGCAAAGAGGAATGAATTTATTATGTAGTCAACTTGGGTGGGTTGATGGTGGGCCATTGAATCAGAGAGTGGAATTGCCATTTCTGCCTTAGAAAAGTTAATCTGGTGCTCTGGGGGACCTGAAGCTTAAGCAAGTAGTGAATACACTTCAAGAGAAAGGATTCAATATTATGAATTTGACATTAGGTATAGGACCCAATGGAAGGGGTCCATGTAAGTGTTGGACCCCAAGTCTAAGTTTCACTAGCCTCCTGGAATGTCTACCTCAGTGGGTTGTATTACGTAGGATGCCTCCAACAGTAGTCTTGGCAAGATAACAAGGAATTAATGTGGAAATGGCAGAGGAAATTTGGAAAAAGGGGCAAATATAACATTTTATGGAGGTGAAAGTTCAAGGCCTGGCAAATTATTGGATGCTGAAGGTGAAAAGGAGGAGACAAAGATAGGTCTGAAATTTGCAGTCTACAGGTAACAAGGAAGGTGGTGATGGCATAGACAAAGATAATACAAGAGAAGGTTCATGTTTTCAAGGAAGAGGATGCAATCATTTTGATCAGAGTGAGTTTGAGAATGTCTAGGTATAAATATTCAGCAAGTCATTGAAAATGTGAAATTAAAGACTATCTGAATTTGAAAGTCACCTATTTCTACATGCATATTGTGATACAATGAGATTGTCATGGGAGGGGAATATAGAGAGACCAGAAATCTTTGGATGGAGTGGCCTCCTCATTTGGTAAAAGTTAAAATAAAAAAAATTCTGCTTATAGAACCAATACACTATCTGGATGTTTTTATTTGCTTTCTGGTTGCCAAAATTTTCTGTGAATATCTTTTAACTTTAGCAGAGTATTTAGAATAAAATTGCTTTTCATGCTACTTTATTATTCATTAGAAGTTATAGGTATTGCCCTGAAATTTAACATTTAAATAATTTATATTCATTTTTACTTTCAGCGCCTATTTCTTAAGGTGACATTCACTGTGTTTTTTAGACTCCTTTAATGAAGATACAAAAATTTATGAAGTATACGTCCCCTCCCACTGACAGATAACCTTTACATCTGTCTTCCTTCCCTAGTATTTACAATTACTCTACCACAGAAGGGGTCAAACTTCTAGAACTAGAAGGAAAGAACTCTTGAGATGCATGTAATTATAAATAATAGTTATGCTCTTTTACTGTAATTACTGTTCCGTTTTAGAGCTTTTGTCTGCCCCTCCATGATTCCTTCTGACACAATCAGGATGTAAGAAGTTTGGTACAAGCTTCTGGAAAAAATAGATGTACTTTTTGAGAGTGTTTGTTTAATTATCTGGTCTCAAATGACTGGTACAAAAAAAAAAAACCCAGGATAATCAGGATGCTAATATCTGTGCAATCAGTCATCTTTCCTTCGTTAAGAAACTTAGTAATAAGAACACATATTTTTTCTACTTATTGTGTTTTTTAAATTGTCTTAATGATTTTTCCCCCTAAAGTTTCCCAGTAAATATTTTTGGTATTTTCAGAAACATAGTCCCTTTTCCAACATTCTTGGGTTTATTTGAATATGGGGAAAGTATCTCCGCCAGAGAGTTATTAGAAAATATACTGTAAAACTGGTTTCCAGCCTGGACCATTATCAGAATAACCTGGGAGATCAAAAAATACAGATTTAAACCATATGGGACCATGAACGGTTTATGCCTTTTCTTGAGTTGGCATGCAGTACTTTCCTTCTTCTTTCCCTCCCTACATTTTCACTGATATTTCCCCCATTCTCACAATAAAATATCGTTTAAATTTGGATAATACCCAGATTTATATATCTCGTACAGTTCTTTCACCTGAATCTCGGAAGTGGCTAGGTTCATGTTGCTTACTGGTTGTTTTTCTGCAAAGCAATCCAACCCCATCTTTCAGTCATGTAATTTGGATTATGAGAATCCCATTCTTCCAATCTTTATTAGTCTGCACTTGCATTGCTCTAAAGAAATATCTGAGACGGTTAATTTATGAGAAAAGAGATTGAATTGGCTTATGGTCCTGCAGGCTGTACAGGAAGCATAGTGGCTTCTGCTTCTGGGGAGGCCTCAGGAAACTTCCTATGATGGTGGAAGGGGAAAGGGAAGCCAGCACTTCACATGGCTAGAGCAGGAGGAAGAGAGGGAAGGGGTGGGGGTGCTATGTACTTTTAAACAAACAGATCTTGTGAGAACTCTATTGTGAGAACAGCACCAGGGGGATGGTGCTAAACCATTCATGAGAAACTACCCCAGGATACAGTCACCTCCCCTCAGGCCCCGTCTCCATCACTGGAGATACAACTCTATTAAATTTGGTCGAGACGCAGATTCAAACTATATGGCAATCCTATCCTTATTCCCATTTTGTGGTTAGGAATGTGACCCAAGATTTCAGTACACTGTATCAGCCTCCCATTCAGGACGAATCAACATTATTTTCTGATAGTTTTTTTTTTTCTTTTTTTGTTGTTGAGACGGAGTCTCGCTCTGTCGCCCAGGCTGTAGTGCAGTGGGGCGATCTCGGCTCAC